TGCAGCCGGTGGGAGCCGTTTTCCTCCCCCGATCCGAGGGAAATCCCATCCCTGAGCTGCCACAAGCGAGGAAGAGGAGCAGGTGCGGGCGAAGGCCGCGTGGCTGCTCTGCCGTCGTTCCCAGTGACCACCTTAAAACCCGCTAAAAACTCGGTGGGAATTGCACGGTGGCTGTCCCGTGCGTGCCCACTGATGTATACGTAGTGTTAAGCCAAAAGAACATGCAAAATTATTTGTTCCTACTACAGCACCCTTCATATTCTGCGTGTTTTTGCCGAGCTTTGGAGGCCACAGCAGGGTTCAGGCCTCCAAAAACAGATCTGAAGCTTTAGCTGTTCCTGGTGTTCCTGGAGCGATGCAGCTCTCGGGCAGCACTGAGCAGTCCAGGCACTTTTTTTCCCAAATATTTCTAAATATTTTTTTTTTCTCCAGGTATAGTTTTGGGGGATGATTGGCTGTCAATCCAAACTGTCCAAATGCACCCTGTTCCTCAGATGTAACCCGGCCACTTTGTTTAACACTAAACCATGCTTTTACCATCGTATTATTTGACAAATTCCATTTCCATAAGATACAAAATGCTTCAATGCTCTGGGCTCTTTAGTTATGGAGCATTAAGCTTAAGTTTATAGCTAGGCCTCATCTTGGTGACGATGTAAAAACATAACATTTTCGGGATTTGGAGATGTTTGGGGTTAATTTGACCACATTGCCTTGGGTGATGATTCCATTGCGGGATCCAGCTGCAAAACGAAACGGGAAAACACCAGCCCAAAAAGCCAACGCGAGCACCGGGGAGCCCCCGTTGGCCACCCTGGCACATGGCTGGGCGAAGGGGTCATTTCCAAAGTGGCCTGGAACTAACGGGCTGTCAGCGAGAGCCGCGCTGGAATTAACTCGGTGCACGGGGCTGCATGTTGGCCTTGGGGCATTTTTTGCATGTTCACCCAGCGCTTCAAAAGCAACTCGATGCAGCTGCGTTTTAAGCTAAGTTGTCTCTTGAAAGCTGGTCTACTAACAAGAAATGTTTTTACCACTTTATTTCTTGAATGTAGGTGAGGAAAACGCACACTGAGGTCACCGTACCCACCGCGGATGGTGACCGGCCCCAGGTTTGTGCTGATAATTCAGTTAGGCCGCTCATACCTATTTTTTTGAAGGTAATACAGTGAGGTTCTACATAATTAAATGAACCAACGTTTTTCTTGTATTCTTTTTTTTTCCTATCACTGCCAAACAGCAGCAGCCTGCAGAGAAAGAGGAAGAACTGATAAGAATGAGGAAGGTTAGACACTTTACCCTTTCACCAAACAAATTTGCCATATCATTCATACATAACCCTTTTAAAAAGACAGTGCTCCACTTTCTTCCTGTGCTTTGGGCTGGGCGCTTATTCATTCTTTTGAATCCACAGGTGCCAATAATTTGGTTTCAAAGTGAACAGCTTTTTGTCCCTTAGCCAAGCGCTACAAGTTCTCCCGTTGGATGATATGGAGAAACAGGCTTGGTCTGATGCATAAAATCCATCTTTGCTGCTCTGTAACAAATATCCAAACAAAAAGATATATTGTGCAATCCAAGGAAATACAAAAAAAAAAGGACAAAAAAAAATTTCCCCAAATTATGCTTTTTTAATGTTGATTGCTTAATAGGAGAGGTCCCAAATCCTTTCTAAAGACTTGGAGGTGCTGATGAGGTTGCCCGTGCTGCGTGGCTCCCTGGAGCCCGCGCGCGCAGGGACATAAAGCTGCCACTTTGTGCAAGGCTTCTGGAGAAACCTGGTGCGATTCCTCCTTGCGGGGAGCAGAGGAGGCTGCAGAAAGGGCTAAAAAAAAAAAAAAATAAGCCGCTGCAGGGCTGGGAACCTGTCTCTTTAAAGGCCTCATTGCATCTGCCCATTTTCCGTGGCCGTCCCTTGCCGGTGGTGACTCGGTGCAGGCGTTCTTGTGGCTCCACGGCCCATCCCATGTTGGCCCAGTGCTGCACTCCAAACATTGCGTTGACTTTTTTTATTTGCCAATTTGTGAATTCCCGCAAGAACAACGTTTTAATTTTTTGTGCTTCTCTTCTTTCTTTTTTTTTTCTTTTTTGTTGTTTTTGTTCCCCCCTTTCTTTCATTTTCACAGAAAAGATCAAAGAGGCTAGATGGTGAAAACATTTATATCAGGCATAGCAATTTAATGTTGGAGGTTTGTATGAACTCGACGCTTTTTTCAGTTGCGTTTGCCTAGACCTTCTGCATTCTCTGCTGAACTTTTTCTTCCTCTTCTGCTGCTGCCTTTGGTTTTGCATGCTCTTGCATGATGGAGTTATTTTTTTATTAATTTAATACGCTTTTGCATGCTGGCAGTAAACATGCCAATCCGCAGGCATTCTTCCTTCTACCTCTTTTGATTTTCATTCTCTCATACTGACCTAAAATATACGATTGGCAGAGCCGCGTGCTCAGCCTGGTCTGTCCTGAGACTCTTGGGCAACAAGTTGCCTGCTCAAAACGACCCGAACCTCATATAAACCTTGATCTTTGTTTGAAATGTGTGAGTTTTGCCAACAAAGCAATAGAAAATGCAGCTTCTAAAATATAAAAGCGAGGCTAAGCTGCACATGGAGGCATCAGGACGGCAGCGGAGGAGCAGCTGAGGGGCGGCCTGGCCCCGTGGTCCCCGAGCACCGTCTCAGGACAGACTGAGCCAATCCTATATTTGCACCCTGTGTGCCCAGGACGTTTGTGCCTTCGGGTGCTCCTGTCCCCGTGTCCCGTGGTGTCCACGGGAAGTTGCAGCGCGGCAGCCGGCAGGGCTTCCCCGTGGGTGTCGCGCGAGGGTGAAGGGCACTAACGAACTTGCTGCCTCCTAACCGGGATTTTAAAAGTTTTGCAGCTTTTGGGGGTTT